CTCCTCCATTCTCCTCCATTCTCCTCTCGGGATCTTGGGTACACATGCACGCACATGCGCCTGGCGTGAGTTTAAGCCACTGGGTCCGGGACTCGAACCGTGGTCGGCTACATTGTAGTTCAGCGACATAGCCATTATGCTAACTGCTGGTCCCAGCTGGTGTGACTTTCAAGCCATGGATCTGGGACTCAAATGGGGTCAGCCATGTGGGAGTCCAGTGCCTTAACCACCACGCCACCTGCTGGCCCCTTCCTATACTTTTAGCAACAAGCACAGGTTAAGCTACAAGCAAATCTGGGGACAGAAAGGAACAGAAATGAAAGGTCCCTGGAGGGAAAGGCAAGAGATTCCTTCTGAGAACTCCTTCTGAGAGCTGCAGACAGGGCAGTCTGGCTCGCTGTCGTGTCTCTTCTCTGCCGTCTCAGCCTCTGGGCCCAGGTATGAAATAAGAAATACCTTTGGCTATTCTCTCTTCTCTAGGTATTCTACTATCACATGGATCCCTTCACACCCATGAGTGGGAGGTTCAAGGACCGGGTGTCCTGGGATGGGAACCCTGACAGGTATGATGTCTCCATCTACCTCTGGAAGCTGCAGTTCGATGACAATGGGACGTACACCTGCCAGGTGAAGAACCCACCTGACGTGGATGGGCTAATCGGGGAGATCCGGCTCAGCGTAGTGAACACCGGTAGGTTATGCAGGGGACGGGCTGTGTGAAGTTCGGGGCTGGGAGAAAAGGGTGGGGAAATTTTCTTCTTCTTTTTTTAATTTTTAGAGAGATTTTTGCTATAGGGTGACTGTGCTCACCGGGGAGACAGAAAGAAAGCAAGACATCCCCACCCCCGGGGGGGATGACCACACTGCAATATCTTCTCCTCCATTCTCCTCTTGGGATCTCAGGCATGCATGCACACATGCTTGGTGTGAGTTTTAAGTCAGCTGGCCCAGGTCTCGAACCACGGTCAACTACGTGAGTCCAGCGACATGACCATTATGCCACCTACTGGTCCCAGAGGGGGGCAGTCTTCTGAGATGGCTGCAAGGGCAGAGAGAGGGTCTAGCGCTTCGGAGCTGGGAGAGTCTTGGAGTGAAAAGAGCAAGGCTTTGTTTGTGGTGGAGAGAAACAGTAAAGCAGACCTAGGGAATCTGTTACAAAAATGGCACAGCGAGAGGAGGAGAGGAAGCGACCCTGCCGAGAGGCTCACACTAGGTCTGCTCATTCCCTCATTTATCCACATCTGTTGAGTACCTACTCTGTGCCAAGTGCCAAGAGCACCTGTCATGTACTATCTCATTTAATCCCCATAAACCACCCTAGGAGGCAGGTACTAGTTATAGTCGCTAATGGGTATTGAGTACTTCCCATGTGTCAGGGGCTTCCCATGACATGTTTTATTCATCTTTATTTACTTATCTCATCAGTTTATTGTGAACTTAGTGCCTCCCACGTTAGCTATGTGGAAACTGTGGCTTGCAGGGGTTAAGTCATCCACCCAAGTCATGCGGCTGATAAATGAAGAAATTTTGGACTCCAACCCAACCATCTTGGCTCTAAAACTGAGCTCTGAGCTAGTGCACTGTAGTGCCTGCACCCCTAAAAAGACAACCTAAAACCTATACCAGCCAGCAAAGAGCAAAGACTGTAAAACTTACGGGTTTTAGAGCCAATGCGTGCCCGTGCTCTGACTGACCACCTGCCAGCCAGTCTGATTCCCCTCATCCGTGAAGTGAGTAAGACAGCCAGGATGATGGTGAGGATAAATGAGAAGGTAGGAACATTTCCCAAACTCTGAACTCATGACGATCAGAGCTCCCATACAGCGTTTAGTATACACAGCCAAGCAGAGAACGACTCACAATAATTATTGTGCTGCTTTTTTATCTGCTAGAGGGCATGTGTGCTCACCAGAGAGAGCCAAAAAGTAGGAGAAAGCACCCTCCTGGTGGACTTTGGTTATGCCACAACCCCTTTTCCTCCATTTCTCTACCCTGTCAAGATTTGGGGCATGCTTGCATGCATGCCCTCTGTGTTTTCAAGCTGCCAAGCCTGGTATTTGAACAGCGCAGTTGGCTATGTGGCATCTGGCTCCTGTAACCATGGGCCATAGGGCCAGCCCCCAAAACTGATTAAACAAATTATTTTATTAATTATTGTTATTTTAATTTGATCAGAGAGAGTCAGAGAGAAAGAAAAAGGGAAAGTGAGAAAGCAAGCTGCTGGGTCTGGGACTCGAACTGTGGTCAGCCATGTGGGAGTCCAGCATCTACCACTTGCGGGCCCCCAAGAACTGATTTTTTATCAGAACCCCAAAAGTGATATAATTATTTCTATTTCTATCCATGAGGACACTCAGGCCCAAACACGTTGGTTACTCCAAACCACAGTTGGTAAATGGTGGAGCTGGCATTGTAATCTAGTCAGCGTTCCCTGGTGCGTGCTTGTAACCAAAACACAATGTTACTACCTCAAATGGGCAAGCCTGGAAAGAGACAGCTTTCCTCCTTCATTCCCAGTACAGCTTAATGCCACCTCCACCAACCCCGAACCAACGGACTTGTGGGACCTTGGGGAATCATCTGAGCATTGAAAGAACTCATGTAATGCCTCTAGACCTGTTATTTCATCTGCAAAATGAAGAGGCTGACAAGAAATCATGGGTCTTAAACATACTGGGAGCACTACACTTGGAGAATCTAAGGAAAGTCATGGCCATTTCACACACACACACACACACACACACACACACAGAGAGAGAGAGAGAGAGACAATGAGATTCCCCTTCCCTTCTCCATCTTTCTTCACAGAATCCAGGCTGGAAATCTTTGGCCTAAACAGTCTCTAACGTCCTTTCTGGCTGTGAGGGCTTACTGAAGTTTAAGTCAGAAATCATGGTTAGGATAAGAAAACGAGGCTTTATGGACGCTAGTTTGGTTTCGAGGCCCTGCCCTCTGGGTTTCCCCCTTCATCACTTACCCACTAGACTGCAGTTACTCACTTGCTTGTTTGCCTTCCCAAGGGGGTAAGGGCTCCTTGAGGGTAATGCCTTTGGTGGCTTTCATTTCCACCTCAGTGGCAGAACACAGTACACCCATAATCCATCAGAATAAATGACTAACGGAGGGGAGGGACAATCAGGGAGAGGGGTTAGATGCTAGGTGTGATTAGGTGAGCACTAGGTAGTTCTACTGACCCGGTGGCTCTCAAATTTTTAGCGAGCATCACAGTTACCTTGAGGACATGTGAAAAGTGAGACAGATTGTTGGGCCCCATCCCTAGTACTTCTAATTCAGGAGGCTTGAAAATGTGCACTTCAGATTTTCCAAGTGATATTGATACAGCTATTCCTAGGACCACACATTGAGAACTACTAACATAGTGTGTAGGGGCCTGCCCTGTAGCCCAGTGGTTAAGTGCTACGCATTGGGCCGGATCCCACATAGCCAACCATGGCTGGAATCCCAGTGGCTTAAAAAAAACACCCCAGGTATAGGTGTGCGTGTGCCCCAATGCCACTAGGAATGAGAAATTGAAGAAAAAGAACTGCAGCATGACTGTGCCCCATTGGGGGTACTTTCTCTCTCTGTGAGGGCACGTGACCTCCTAGAAGGTCACATGGTACTTTATATACAAAGGTAGGAGGAAGAGTCCTTTTAATGACAAAACACATCTCTGTCATGCCTTAGATTTGATCATAGTTCTCTCCTCTTTAGGATCCTAATTTGACTGCTTGCTCTCTTCTCCTTACAGTGCGCTTCTCTGAGATGCACTTCCTGGCTCTGGCCATCGGCTCTGCGTGTGCACTGATGGTCATAATCGTGATCGGGGTGGTCCTCTTCCAGCATTTCCGGAAAAAGCGATGGGCCGAGCGAGCTCATAAAGTGGTGGAGATAAAATCGTAAGGCTGGGTAGCTCTGGAAAAATCTTCTAACACCCTTATGGGGACCCTTGGTATCTTGCAGTGGGGCTAATTCGCTGTTGAACGGATGTTCCTCCTTGGGATAAGTCCTGGATAAGAGAAGTCATTTTCATGGGACACGGGTTAGGGTGTGAATACTAACTTTACAAAAGGTTTCTTCATTTTTTTCTCTTTTTTTGGAGAGGTTTTTGCTATAGGGCACGTGTGCTCGCCTGACAGAAAGCGAGAAATCACCCCCCAGAAGGGATGACCACGCTACAATCCCTTCTCCTCCATTCTCCTTTTGGGATCTTGGGCACGCACGCACACGCGCCTGGCATGAGTTTGAGCCACCGGGTCCGGGACTCGAACTGCGGTCGACTACATGGGAGTCCAGCGACATAGCCATTACGCTAATTGCTGGTCCCAAAAGGTTTCTTCATTTTACAAGCTCTCATCAGAGGAGTTCATTACTATGTGGGATCCGATGTTATAAATATCTGCTCATGTAAAGTGTTTCTAGAGTACCCCTTGTTTTTCAAGTGATGCACACATTTGTAAGATCTGCCAGGCCAGGCAGCCAGCAGGGTCACTGAAGCAGTGCCTAGGAAAGTCTGCCGAGCAGCAGTAGGTGATGAACCAATGCATGTATATATTGTTGACAGGGTCTCACGATGGTATCCAGTCCAGCCTTGAGCTCACGCTTTTCCTGTCTCAGCCTTTCGAACTTCTGGGATTACATGTGCCTGCTACTGGTCCTGGCCTTTAGATTGGACTGGGAATCAAACCTGGGGCTCTTATGTGGTACTAGTCTAAAGGGCACAGCATCTTAGCAGTGAGCCATTATGGCTGAGCCCCAAATGCATTTTTTTCCTTCTTCTTTTTTAAACAAACCCTCGTGTTGATGCCTGACTCTCGACAGATCACGGTGAGTCTGCTGCATACAAATCCCTGACCTCAAACCAGGTTTCTGCAGGAATGTGTGTTGCCTGATGGGCAAGGAGGTGGCCCCCTTTCTAGTCGCACCCTATTTCCTAAGTGCTCTTTGCACAGACCCTGGTCTTGATGTGCTGGAATATACTTATATTTTTTAATTGAGATAAAATTTACATACCATGAAATTCACCCTTTTAACAATCACAAAATTGTGCAATAATGATAAATTCCTGGGCCTTTTCAGCTCTCACCCTCTCCACGGGAACCCCATACCCTTTAGTAATCACTCCTTATTCTTCCTTTCACCATCCCCTGACAACTACTCATCTACCTTCTGTCTCATAACTGGCTAAAGCGAGAAATCACCCCCCAGAAGGGATGACCACGCTACAATCCCTTCTCCTCCATTCTCCTTTTGGGATCTTGGGCACGCACGCACACGCGCCTGGCATGAGTTTGAGCCACCGGGTCCGGGACTCGAACTGCGGTCGACTACATGGGAGTCCAGCGACATAGCCATTACGCTAATTGCTGGTCCCAAAAGGTTTCTTCATTTTACAAGCTCTCATCAGAGGAGTTCATTACTATGTGGGATCCGATGTTATAAATATCTGCTCATGTAAAGTGTTTCTAGAGTACCCCTTGTTTTTCAAGTGATGCACACATTTGTAAGATCTGCCAGGCCAGGCAGCCAGCAGGGTCACTGAAGCAGTGCCTAGGAAAGTCTGCCGAGCAGCAGTAGGTGATGAACCAATGCATGTATATATTGTTGACAGGGTCTCACGATGGTATCCAGTCCAGCCTTGAGCTCACGCTTTTCCTGTCTCAGCCTTTCGAACTTCTGGGATTACATGTGCCTGCTACTGGTCCTGGCCTTTAGATTGGACTGGGAATCAAACCTGGGGCTCTTATGTGGTACTAGTCTAAAGGGCACAGCATCTTAGCAGTGAGCCATTATGGCTGAGCCCCAAATGCATTTTTTTCCTTCTTCTTTTTTAAACAAACCCTCGTGTTGATGCCTGACTCTCGACAGATCACGGTGAGTCTGCTGCATACAAATCCCTGACCTCAAACCAGGTTTCTGCAGGAATGTGTGTTGCCTGATGGGCAAGGAGGTGGCCCCCTTTCTAGTCGCACCCTATTTCCTAAGTGCTCTTTGCACAGACCCTGGTCTTGATGTGCTGGAATATACTTATATTTTTTAATTGAGATAAAATTTACATACCATGAAATTCACCCTTTTAACAATCACAAAATTGTGCAATAATGATAAATTCCTGGGCCTTTTCAGCTCTCACCCTCTCCACGGGAACCCCATACCCTTTAGTAATCACTCCTTATTCTTCCTTTCACCATCCCCTGACAACTACTCATCTACCTTCTGTCTCGTAACTGGCTTATTTTGGACATTTCTTCTAGATGGGATCACATAATATGTGGCTTTTTGTGTCCAGCTTCCTTCACTTAGCACTGTTTTCCTTTTTTTTGAAAAAAATTGCTGGAGGATGTGTGCATTCATGAGACAGAGACAAAGAGAGAAAGTGAGAGGGCGAGAGAGAGAAAGAAACCACCTTCCCTGGGGGAGTCATGCTGCAGTCCCTTCTCCTTTGATTCTTTTGTTTTGGAATTCTGGGCATGCACACACATGCACCCTGTATGTTTTTCATGCTGTCAGTTCTGGGACTCGAACTGCTCAGTCAGTCATGTGAGATCCAGCTGCCTTAACCACCATGCCACCTTGCTGGCCCAGTATTATGTTTTCAAGATTCATTTGTGTTGTAGTGGGTATTAGTACTTCATTCTTTCATGGCTGCATAATATCCCATTGTATGGACAGACCATATATTATCTAATCACTCACCAGTTGATGGGCATTTTTTCCCCCTACTTCTTGGCTATACTGACTTCTATGAATAGTCATATACAAGGTATTGTGTAAATATATGTTTACAGTTCTCCTAAGAGTAAGTGGAATTGCTTGGTCATAGGATAACTATGTTTACATTTTGGAGGAACTGCTGCTTCCCAAAACGGCTGCACCATTTCACATTCCCATCAACAGTGTGTGAGGATTCCGGTGGTTCCACATCCTCACCCACGCTGGTTACTGTTTTTCTTTTTGATATAGCCATCTAGTGGGTGTGAAGTGGTATAACACTGAGGCTTTCATTTGCATATTCCTAATGACTAATGATCTTGAACCTTTTTCCATGTGATTATTGCAATTTTTTAAAAAGGATTATTTTATTTAACTTTATTTATTTATTTATTTTAATTTGACCAGAGAGGGACAGAGTGAGCTGCCAGGTCCAGGACTTGAACTGTGGTTGGCCATGTGGGAGTCCAACACCCTTAACCACCATGCCACCTACCGGTCCTGCTTATTGGTGATTTGTATATCTTATTTTCTCCCATTCTGTGTGACAAAATTTTAAGTTTTGATGAAGTCCACTTTACTGGAAAAAAACCTGATAAATGAGATTCATCTAAATTTAAAAAGTTTATGCTTCAAAGAATAGTATCAAGAAAATGAAAAGATGGGCCACTTCCATGGCCTAATGGTTAAGGGAGCTAGATCCCACATGGCTGACTGTCCAGTTCAAATCCCAGCACCAGTGGACTGAAAAATATGCTGTGTATGTGTATGTGTATGTGTGTGTGTCCAAAATCCTGAAAGAATGCAGAAGGCATTACAGAGTGACCATGCCCTACTAGTGAGGAGTGGGTGCTTTCTTCTTCTCCTTCTCATTCCTCCCAGACTGCACATGCCTTTTGGCAAATTAAAAAAAAATCCACATAGTGGGAGAAAATAAATAATTCCACGCCATATATCTGATAAGGAACTAGTATAAATATAATATAATATAAATATAAATAACTTTTATAACTCAACAATAAGAAGACAAATAACCAATCCAATTTTAAAACAGGCAAACTATTTTTATAGCCGTATCTCTAAATAAGATGAAATACCATTTAACTGCTTTTAAAACTTTGTCTCTAGTGCTTTTGTGTCATATCTAAGAAAACACTTCCTAATCCACGGTCATAAAGATTTATGCCTATGTTTTCTTCTAAGAGTTTTATAGTTTTAGTTCTTACATTTAAGACTTTGATGCATTTTGAGTTACTTTTTATATGTCATTAAGGAAGAAGTCTAAATTCATTCTTTTTTTATATGGATGTCCACTTGTCCTAGCACTATTTATTTTCTTCAATATATATATATATATTTTTGTGGTAATTAGAGACAAAGAAAGGGAAGAGGAGAGGGAGGGAGATAAGCATTTTTGACAGCGTGTTGCCATTGCAATCCTCTGCCCAGCCTCCCTGCTAGCGAGGACTACATGCATGCACTATCACACCTGGATAGCTGAGGTAGGTCCAGGATCCAAACCTGGGCCTACCATGTGACCCTAGCCCTGGGAAGTTGTGCCCTATGCCTATGCCACCATGACTGGGCTACAACTGATTGGAAGGAGTCAACTTAAACCTAACTTTGAGTTCTGGTTTGAATAGAAGACAATCAATAAAAATGACTTTCCAGTCAAGACAAATTTTTCTTTTGCATATAAAGTAGAAATGAGAGGCAGAATACAATGGTAAAATAAGGTATCTGCTTTAAACCTCTAGAGTTCCAAAATCAGATCCCAAATCGAATTCCCTTTCATTCTGAAAACTAAGTCCAGAGACCAATGGTCACGTGGGCATGGCTAGGATTAGTTAGAAGGCATAGTAGCTTAGCTCTTTTATGCATGGATCTCCTCCAGGTGCATAAAATTAAACCCCTTACCTGAAGCTGTTTTAGGATTTGTCTGCCTTGCTTCTTGTCTTGTTCACCTGACATTTGCTTTCTACTTCTTTGTCACAGAAAAGAAGAGGAAAAGCTCAATCAAGGAAAAAAGGTCTCTGTTTACTTAGAAGACTGACATCGTAGATGGTAAGGTTCAGAAATGGGCTGACTTCTTTCCTCAGCTTCCTGACCTGCCTGGTCTTTCCTCATGTGGATCCTTCTCTCATGTGGATCCTCTGCATGTTTATATGGCTAACGGGTACTTCCTACGTGGAATCAGAGGAGTTGGCTCAGGGAGATAAGTAAGCCTTCTATTAGTTTTGTAAATGGCTCTCCCTTTGAGTTATTTTGCACAAAAAATTGAGAAGTTAGACTCACCTGCCATTAAAGCTGAGTCTTTTTTTTTTTTTCTTTTAAGATTTTTTTTCCAAATTGCTGGAGAGAGGCAGAGAGAGACAATGAGAAGGAAAGTGAGGAATCAAGCCCCAGGGGGTAAGAGCCATGCTGTCATCCCTTCTCCATTCTCCTCTTGGGACTTTGGGCATGCATATACATGTACCCAGCATGATTTTCAAGCTGCTGGGTCCAGGACTTGAACTGTAGTTGGCTGTGTAGGAGTCCATTTCTTAACCACCATGCCACCTACTGGCTCTAGGTTACTGTCTTTCAAAAGTCAAGTATATTCTTTAACCAGTCAGGGTAATGGAAAAGAAAGATGGGGGCTATTTTAGCTGAAAAGAAATTTAAGAGACTAACACAACCAAGTGTAATGTATGATCTGACCACATAGGTACTAGTTTCGACAACCTAGTTATAAAAAAATGGGAAGGGAAACTGAGAAAGTCTTGAGGTGAGCTTGTTAAATTTGGATAATATTAGGGATTTGTTTATAGACTTTTTTTTTTTTTTTAATTTGCTAGAGGGTGCATGAACTCACTGGAGAGAAAAAGCGAGAGAGGACTCTCCATGGGGGATCTTCATGCTGCAGTCTGTTCTTCATTTTCTCTTTTGGGATTTAGGGGCACACACACACACACACACGTTCCTGGCATGCTATTCAAACTTCTGAGTCTGGGACTCGAATTGTACAGTGTCTGTTCTCCTTCATTTTGTCTTTTGGGATTTAGGGGCATACACACACACACACACACACACACACACACGTTCCTGGCATGCTATTCAAACTTCTGAGTCTGGGACTCGAATTGTACAGTAGGCCATGTGGGATCAAGCTGCCTTAACTACTATGCCAATAGCTGGCCCTATTGGTGGCTTTTATTAGGTGTAATAACAGTAGTGTGGTTATATAGAAAAATACTCCTATTTTAAATACGCACTGAGTGGGATCAGCAGAGGGAGTAATTGTTATGTCACTGACCACGGTTCAAGGTCCAGATCTGGTGGCTTAAAACTCACACCAGGCATTTGTGCATGCATGCCCAAAATCCCAAGAAGAGAATAGAGGAGAAGAGAGCACAGTGTGGCCATCCCCCCCGGGGGCGGGGGAGGATGATTTCTCACTTTCTGTCTCTGTCTCTCTGGTGAGCTCATGCACCCTATAGCAAAAATCTCTCTTTAAAAAAAAATGCATAGAATATTTAAGGACAAATGTCAGAAATCTGCTTTAAAAACGTCAACAACAAAATAAAAACAGAAAGTAAAATAATAGAGAAAGCTTGAAAAATCAGGTGATTGGGCCAGCTTGTGGAGTGGTGGTTAGGCAGCTGGATTTCACATGTCTGACCATATGGATTGAGTCCTAGAGCTGGTAGTTTGAGAAACATGCCAAGTGTATTTGCTCACATGCCCGAAATCCCAAGAGGAAAGAGAAATGGAGGAGAAGGGACTGTGGCTCAGCCATCCTCCCTGGTGAGTACTTTCTCACTTTCTTGCTTTCTCTGGCTGTCTCTGGCAAGTGCACATGTCCTATAGCAAATTAAAAAACAAACAAACAAACAATTAGGTGATGAGTGAATTCCATACACTGTCTTCTGTATTTATTTTATAAGGGGGTGGAGGATACGGAACACATATACGGGTGTGAGTGAGCTGTGGCTCATCTACGTGTCCATACAAGGCACCTAGAGGCTATGAATGAAGGACACTGATGCTGAAAACCATGTAACAAGGATCAGGAGACTAAAAAATTAGATTAGGGGACAGTGAGTTTGCCAATATTTCCCCAGGCCCAGCCATGGTAGCACAGGTGGTAAGGCGCTGCCGCATGACACTGGAATCTTATGGGAAGGCCTGGAGTTTGGAGCCTGGACTGACCTGAACATGCCAGGTGTGCACGAGCATGGCTGGCTAGAGGGCCAGGGGAAGGACCTGTTGGAGGTCACTGTCTCTTTCTTTCCGGGTCTATCTCTCATGAAAGAAAGACAGACATTTTAACAAATTGTTCAAAAAAGGGGCCAGAAGGTAGAGCGGTGGTTAAGGTACTGGACTCCCACATGGCTGACCATGGCTCAAGTCCCTTGAAAATCACACTAGGTGCATGTGCGTGCATACCCAAAAATCCCAGGAGGGGAATGGAGAAGGGATTGTGAGGTGGTCATCCCCTCTCTGGGGAGTGATTTTTCACTTTCCCTTTCTCTGCCTCTCCTTCTCTTTCTCCGGCAAACACATACACCCTATGGCAAAAACCTTGAAAAGTTTTTTTTAAGAGGTATTTTTTTATTATAGGGCATGTGCACTTGCCGGAGAAACAGAGAGAGGCAGAGAGACAGAGATAGAAAGCGAGAAATCACTGCCCCCCTCCCCGGCGGGGGTGGGGAGGATAGCTTTGCCACAAACCCTTCTCCTCCATTCTCCTCTTGGGATTTTGGACATGCATGGCATGAGTTTTAAGCTGCTGGGTCCGGGACTCAAACTGCAGTCAACTATATGGGAGTCCAGTTATGTAACCATTAATGCCATCTGCTGGCCCCCCAAAGAATTGTTTACAGAAAATTAGAATATTTTCCTTTACAATGAAGATTAGATCTAACAATGTAGATGTACTTCATAATGCCATGCATTTCTATTGCACTCTTCCCAAATATATAATTCATTTAAACTTTTGTTTATATTTTTTGTTAATATTTTTATATTTTGTTTATATTTTTTTCTTTTCTTTCTAAGGGTGTGTGACGATCTCCAAGAACAAGAACTCTAGTATTTTTTGAAGTCAATGGAAGCTTTTCTTTGGCTCTTCCAGTCGTGACCTGTCTTCCACACGGTTCTACAGTGCATCTCCACCTAGAAAGCAACATGCCGTTGGCGCCAGCTCAGATTTCTTCTTGAGCAGATATCGCCAACTTACACACAGCGTCATGACCAAGGTTTTCAGTTTAGAGAGCACATATTTTCCAATGCTCATTTGCTTTTGTAGCCTAAGCAGCTACATTTTTTGCCCTTACACACTCCTTATGGATTATGACTTTTATACATAGTATATTGGCCTTAAATGGGATAAAAGCCCACTTGGCTCTCATGACACTGCCCTTGGCACATTCGTTTCTTTACAGCAACTTTTGTGCTACTAAAATCAACGTGTTTATTCTCTTTCTTTCTCATATTCTTGATTAAAAGGCAAGCTAAGTCTCCCAGCTATTTTTGATTAATAGTAAACCCTAAATTCATACTGTTAACAGTTTGATTTTTTTTTATTTCTCTCCTTAAGTATGGGACACAGCTTGTTTCAGTGAATTTCTTCTAATGTCCCAGGTGAGAGGGATATTTATTTTTATCTTTTGATCCAAGGTTTACAATTGCACAAGTCTAAATCATTTGGTAACTACAAAAGGTTGCATAAATGCTCATAGAATGACAGATGCCACCTCAGGATGGAACACTTGTCATCTTTTTTCTGCGTCATGAAAAAGAATTAACAGCATAGGTCTTTCAGGAGCAGTGACTGACAGTTGAGTTTTCTATTATTTCCCCCAGTTCACTGATACATAGCAACGGAGCTATGTCTATACTTACTTCTGAGCTGGAATCATGAAGTAGTTGAATACCATTTGGAAACAGTACATTATAACTTTGAAAATTCAGGCTGGTGACAAAAATCAACCCTAACATTTTTTTGTTCAGTATTATAACAAAGCTCTAAGAAATGGAAGAGATCATTCAAGCCTTTTGTTTTTTAAGTTATAATTTGTTGGCTTATTTTGGGGGATGGAGAATTTGGTATGAGTTAAAGAAATACCCAGACTACTTTAACTCCATGAAACCAAATTTTTTCTTTTCTTTCTAAGGGTGTGTGTGCTCGTGGAGTGAGACAGACAGGGAAAGTGAGAAATTACCCCCCTGGGAGGTGGTCACACTGTGACCCCTTTTCCTCCATTTTCCTCTTGGGATTTTGGGCACACATGCACAAGCACCCAGTGTGTTTATCAAAACACCATGTCTGGGATGTGCACTATGCAGCTGGCCATGTGGGATCCAGCCACCCCAATCACCACACCACCTAGCTGGCTCTCTTTTCTATACTGGTAGATACAGCAAACTTTCTAAGTAGGCTATGGAAAAGAAAAGTATCTCATAAAGTGTCTAGTTTTCTAGTGTCTTTCCAGACTTAAGTCATAGCAGCATTTGTTCAAAGGACAGAAAATATCTAAATGTTTAGATCCCGCATCAATCTCTGTAGCCTCATATTTTAGATTTTCATTGATTGAGCTACAGATATTATTTCTTTTAATAAACTAGAATTTTCAAATACAGCATCCATACTTACATATGCTAAATCTTGATATTTCCCCCAATATTATCGATATATATGTATATGGCTTGTTTGTTTGTTTTTGCTGTTAGGTGCATGTGCTTGCCTGAGAGAGAAAGACAAAGTGAGAAGAGAAGTGAGAAATCACCTGCTGGGGGAATGGCCATGCTACAATCCCTTCTCTTCATCTCCTCTCAGGATTTTGGCCATGGATGCACATGTGCCTAGTGTGGCTTTCAAGTTGCCATATCTAGGACTTGAACTACACACTCAGCAAACCATGCAGTCAGCCCTGTGGGATCTAGCACCCCAACATCCAGGCCACCTGCTGACTTCCCCAATACTAGTGTTTTTTAAACTGGTATAATTTACACCTGAACCTTGATTTTGAAATTCATTTCATATCTGTCTCATTTTGCCTTTTACATTGTCTAAAGAAACTAATGTTCAATCCCCAGTTTGGAAACTAAGTATCTGATCTGAAGTCTACCTTACATTTAATTCACATTTTATACTTCTGTTTACAATTCAACCTTTGAAAATATAATCAGATAGATCTTCAAACAAATGACCTGAATGATGTTGTATAAGTGTAACAAGTAAGTAGTTTAAAACTTGTAGTTTGTTCAGCAAAGCCTGTAGCTTGTGTTTTAACTAAATTCTCAAGGGGTAATATGATCTTGCTGTCCAGTGTCTCCTTCCTAAAGAGCACTTTTGTATTGTAACTTATTTTTTATTATGCATAAGCACTATGTAAATAAACCTTTAGTAATAAAGAATGATCAATTCTATATTTGCCTACACACAAATCTAAAAATTTTACATAGCAAGTTACAGAAAACAAATGGGTATATATTTTATCTTCACTGAAAACTTTTCTTAGTAGATAAAACCTAAAAGTCAGTAATAGAATTCATTTCCGCAGGATAAACCAAAACATGTGAGTTTCTACAAAATCTTCACATTGCTTTGACTTGTTAGGCATCACAGTACTACTTGGTTTAGCAAGTCTTTCAAAGGAACAGTATCTTCTATTTGTATTCTTGTATTACTCTGTTAGTCCAGAAGACTCTCAGCTTTCAGCTAGTAAAGGGATGGGAAATGACAAATGAAGTTATTAAATTCCCCAAAGCACACTTTGTTCCCCGCCTTCTTTCATTAAAGATGTGGCAATTTCAGGAAAATAGGTTGAGCACTGATTAAAGCCGGGTACTGTATGTACCATCTCTTTTTCAAAAGGATGGCACATCATTTTACTTCAAGAGTGTAACTTTAGTATTTTCTTACTTTTCTAACCTCTCGAACAAATTCTACTTCCCCATCTACTCTAGCACATGCTATAATGATTTGCTTGTTACTGCCATTGTCAACATTAATGTAATACACACCCATTCTGGATGCTGTAATAGCTACACTTTTTAGTGTAGAAACCAAAGAGACTTTAAGGCACATACTGTCCACAAGGGACTAATACATATTTATTTATTGACTGATTAATCCTGTATAATCTCCTAAATCTCTTTAAAGTCTAAATTTAGTAGAGCCCATTCTGAGAGCATTCAACTACTTAAAATAAGCTCTAGAGATAAACAAACAAACAAAACCTGTAATCCAAAGGATCAAGGTGATTTAGTACTGCATAACTCAAATAAATAAAAATATTAAAATTCTAAAGTCTGTAGCCTACTTCATTTTCAAGTACAAGCGAGCCATTAGCTCCTATCTGAGAGTTAAGTCATCACGGGTCAGTGAAACCAGGTGCGGTTCTGGAAAGAAGCCATGTTCCTATGGCAACTTGGGATCGCCATTTTAAGTTTCCCAGCCGCTTCCCGCCCTGACGTCACTTCCGGTGTTACCTGTGTCGTTACCCGGAGCCATAAACAAGGTGTGCAAGCATCTGGAGAGCTGTCGGGATGCAGCAGAGCGGAGCGGGGGGAGGCCGTGGCTGCGCTCTCTTCCCATTGCTCGGCGTCCTGTTCTTCCAGGGTGAGTGAGCCAGCTGGCTGGGCTCCACTTCCGGCCGAGGGGAGGTTAGGAAGGATGGTCGCTTTTCCGGTTCCGGGTAGGGGGTCTCCGGAAAGCCCGGCTTGCTTTTGGGAAGGGAGGGATGGCGAGGCAGTGAGGCGCTGCTCGCTCACGAGATCACCGCCAGGGGAGTTGGCTCCTTGTCAATCCTTCCGCGCGTCCTGGGAGCTCGACTACTTCGCGTGACTTGGCGTTGTGTTCTGGGGCCGGCAGGGCTCGGTGGGGCCGCAAAGAGCTCCGGCTTTGGGGGCACCGGCGTTCTCTGATGAGGCAGATAACAGTGGTTGCCTGCTGTGGTTTCGTGCTCTCTTTAGGCAGGGGCAGTTCTACTGTGCAGTATGTAGTTTGACCTAATAATTTTGAAACAAAACCATGACTTAGTTTATTTTTGTAGGCGATTATCAGAAGCTAGTAAATATTTACTAGTCACAAAGGATGTGGTGTGATTTTCTTAGAGAAATATGGCTGAGGAAAAAGCAACTGCTTCAGCCTTTAAATGGCATATTAAAAAAATGCAAGGACGGGCATATCAACTCTATTAAAATTTTAATCTATTAACTAATTCTATTAACTAATAGGCGTACAGTATTCGCACTATGACTTCGTCTTAAAATTTGAGAAAATTCTGCTTTGATGTGATTTTCAAATTGCATAAATTTCATTACAAACTCATTGCCTTCACTTTGGGGTGCAATTATTTTCCGGATTTGTGTGTGTGTCGCTTTGCGAATTGTCATCTTCTTAAAATTCCCCTTTGTGTAATGAGGATTTCTTAAGGGGAACTTGATTATTATCTAAATAGTAAAAACTTTAAAATAAAGTTTTAGGTGTCCTAAGACTCAGCAGGTAAAATTGGGAAGTGTTTATTTACCTGGTGACTAATATTTGTCCTGCAGGCACACTCCCTGATCCCTCCCATTCGCCTATGTCATCATAAGTGTCCAGATTTTCAACTAAATTATTTTGCAATGTAGTATTTAGGCTGGCCTACTATCACTCCAAATAAGCCCAATGTTCTCTTTCTCTTTTTCCCTATTGAGAAAAAAAAAATCCTATTTAGAAAATATTGTTCAAATTTTGTCCTATTGAGAAAAGAAGTTTTAGAAATAGTGTTTTCTTAAACCTAATGTCATTTCACATGGAAGGACTTCCATCAAATCCAGCAGAACAAATAATTCAGACATTAAACACTGATTTTATGATCTCTATGTATTAGAGTAGATTTATTTTTTGTCTTAAAAAGTTAATAGCTTTATTGAGATATATCATGTGCTGTGCGATTTACACATTTAAAATATACAATTCAGTGGTTTTTAGTATATTCAATTTTAGAATATTTCATCACTGTAAAGAGAAACTCCAGACCTATTAACAGTTACCCCCCCCAACCCCCTGGCAACCATCAATTTACTCTCTATGGAATTGCATATTCTGAACTTTTCATAAAAAAGGAACAATACGGTATGTGTTCCTTTGTGAGTAACTTCTTTCACTTAGTATGTTTTCATGGCTTATCCTTTTTTTTTTTTTTATCTTCCTTTAGACTCTGTTAATTGATAGACTGGTTTTAGACTCATGGTTATTTTACTTTTCAAAGATAGGACCACTTAAATGATTAGTTTGAGTTCTCCTTAAGTTGCAAGTCTGGTCTTGTTATATCATTTGTTTTTTCTTGTTTGGTTTGCAGAGTTTTTTGCTATAGGGTGCATGTGCTCACCAGAAAGACAGAGAGAGACATAAAGCTACACATCACCCCCCAGGGGGAATGGCCACACCACAGCCCCTTTCCCTCCGTTCTCTTCTCGGGATCTTGGGCACGCATGCACATGCGCCTGGTATGAGTTCAGGCCACTGGGTTCGGGACTTGAACCGCAGTCGACTACATGGGAGTCCAGCGACATAGCCATTGTGTCAACTGCTGGTCCCTTTATCATTTGTTTAAGTGTGTAGGAATGATATACCAGGGAACCTAAAGTTCTTACACATTTCTCTTTTCCATTTAAATGTGAAATTGTATGACTCAAAGATTGGAAAATTTATATTTTGGAAAATGTGGTATACAAAATTGAGAGCTTTGTTTTGACATGTTTATTTAATTTCTTCCATGTATAAAATTACTTACGTTAAAATATGATTTTATTTTTCTCTGAGAGTAAGAAAAAAAGATTAATTATTGTGAATAGTTTGCTGTTTTTTACCATGCAAGAATGCTTTTTTAACCAGGTAAAAAAGATAAGTATCTGTGAGGACATTAGGCCTAGGATAGAAATTTCTTAAGGAATGTTAATTGGTATTTTTATTTTTTACCTTCTGTTTTATTTCTATGAGTGAGAAGACAAACTCACATGCATCAAACTTAAAATGCCTCTCACGTTGGTACAACATATAGAAAGGAAAGCATGCCTATCATAAATGTCTAGCTCAATGGATTTTTAGAAATTGAACACACTTGGAGAATCAGCACCAAAATCAGATACAGAATGCTCCTGGCATTCCAGAAGCTTTTCTTGTGCTTCCTTCCAATCATTATCCTTTTCCCCCCAAGAGAAACCAATATTCTGATATCAAACAGTGTAGATTAGTATAGTTCATCCACGGATCTTACTTTTTTGGTAACTGTATGTTTAAGACTCACTATCCCATGTTTCTGTTTCAGCTAAATCTTGATAATTTTGTGGAAAAATCATGCTCATTAATGTGAAGTTTACAAATTGCCATTGATATGGTTATTTTGTAGCAGTTTTTGCTCCACTAGACCAAACGGTTGGGTTGGTTGGTCTAATTGAATAAATATAAATAAATAAATAATAAGCATCACAACGAGCTAGGCTCTGCCTTGATGAGCTCTGGTTCTGTCAGAGAAGACAGACAAGTCAGCAGATAATTTTAGACTCTAGTAGTAAGTGAGGAATGTGCTAGAAGCCATGGGTGTCCAGAGGAGGTGCCCATGATCTCCCATGTGGATAAAGGGAAGATTTCCTGGAGGTGTCAATAAAGTTAGATCTTGACAGAGGAGTAAGAGTTAAAGATAGGGAGTGAGGAAGATTCTAGACATGGAGAGGAGCATAAACAAGGTATAAAAGCATTAAATCACTGTCCAAGCACATTTTCGGAAACTCACTTTGATTGGAGGAGCTTAGAGTCCATATTGATCCCCAGGTCTGTTTCTGTGATCGGGAGGATGCTGTGTGACAGCCAGCTCCTCTGGCCAAGAGTCAATTATGCACATATCTTCCTAACAGAGCAAAGGGATTTCATCTTTGTAGCTCAAAGTTAGCCATGGCAGGAGTGTTTGTACCCCAGACTATAGAAACTGTCTAACCTTGTGTACCTGAACTATTTATTTATTTATTTATTTATGTTTTTTTAGGGGGGGAGTAGGACCAATTGCTAGTTATTCTTAGTACGCTCCCCCCACCAGATCCATTCACTCCCATTTGGCACATCAGCCATAGTTGACTGACCCAACCTTAACCCAGCTGCTCCCTTGACATTACAACTTGGGTATCTCAGAGACACCTTATGGTCCAGCTGTGGTGGATACACTGCCAAGAGGTTGGGACCATATGAGAGACGACGGTTCAATTCCTGGTCCAACCTGAAGGCTGGGCACGGTGGCATGTGCCTGCAATCTCAGTGACTCAGGAAGCCGAGGCAGGAGGATTGCAAACTCCAGGCTGGCCTGGGCACCATAACAAGACCCTGCTTCAAACCAAGCCAAGCCAAGCCAAGCCAAACCAAAAACCTTAACTCATCCAGAGTCAAACTCATGTCCCCTTGACATGCCTGGCACTTTCCTGGTCTTCCCTCTTTCAGCGAATGGCCCATGTCAGAAACCTTGACACCTGCCTTTATGTAACCTTCTCCATCTGCTCTATCACCAATTCTTATTGATTTCACCTTGTGAGAATTGTCTTCCCAATTCACTCCATGTCTACTGTGACCAGTTCAACTCAAGCTTCCCTTATTTCTTACTTGACTATTGTAGTAGACTCCCCAGTAATTTCTCTGTATTTACGCTAGACTCCTCCCAAGGAGCTTCTCTCAAGTGGCCTTTTACAAAAATGCAAATTTAACCCTGTCTCTTTTACTCTGTCCCACATTTGAGTATTATCCATGGCTTCCCATTACTCTAAGGATAAGGACCAAATCTCTCAGGGCCTGCATGATCTAGTTCCTGCTTACCTCCTGAGTGTATCTTGGTTTAAGCCACCGTGTCTGGGACTTGAACCGCAATTGACTACAGGGGAGTCCAGTGACATAGCTGTTACGCCAACTGCTAGTCTCCTGTTCTGTAGTAACTATTTAAGGAAAGTTTTAATCACTCCCCTCTCCCCTACCACACAGCAGGTGCAATTCTCATAGCCATTCTCTTTGGCTTTCCTTCATAATGGTTATCAGAGTTTTTAATTATGCATTTGTTTTTATGGTTATTTGATTAGTATATCAGCAATTTCCACTCTGGGACCAGCAGATGGCATTATGGTTACATTGCTGGACTCCCACATAGTCAACTGCAGTTTGAGTCCTGGACCTGGTGGCTTAAAAGTCATGCTGGGCACGTGTGCGTGCATGCCCAAGATCCTGAGAGGAGGATAGAGGAGAAAGAACTGGTGCGGCCATCCCCCAGGGAGGTGATTTCTTGCTTTCTCCCTCTCTGTCTCTCTGGTGAGCACACATGCCTTATAGCGAAAACCTCTCTACACTAAACAAACAAACAAACAAAAAACAGAAAAAAAGAAAACAAAAACTTCCACTCTATTTCAAGTGTACAAGTGTATTCATTTTCCTCACATTTAATCCCAGGCACAGAGGCTATCACAAAGCAGATGCTCACTAACTGTATGTTTGAAGACTAGTGAATGGACGAGACTACAAGTTGAGCACCCCCAATCTGAAAAGTTCCAGAATCTGTAACTTTTCGAGTGCCAACATAATGCTACACATGGAAGATTTAACAC